TGTGTATATATATATATACAGTATAAAAATAGTTCATAGCACACCTAGTTTGACCAGTTTGGACAGAATCATTTATAATCAAAATTCTATTTCAGCTGCCATACAAGGAACACCTGCTTGCAAAGGTCCGCTCAAAACAGCAGGCATTACTTCAGGCAGAGTTAATGATAACAATAAAACCACCAAGAATTTATGGTCTCTTGCCTTTCCCTCACCCCGGAAACCCTGGGAGTTGGAACTTGTTAGTTGGCTTTAGGGAAACATGACCTTACATTATTGTTGCCATAAAAGAAATTGAAATTTTAGCAAGTTTCATCTACCTCCCTAATAGCATTAATTAACCAACAAAATAAAAGGGCTTAGAAAAGTGGAATTAAACAACATTGGCCAGGAAAATGCTTGCAGGCTTTTAACTTCCCTCTACTCCCAGTGTAACAAAAATGGAAGAAAACAGAAAAAGTCCCATCTTTTAAACCTGTGTATATGCATGCATTATTAGATCTATATAAATATACCAAATGGTCTCTTCTGGCTTCAAGTGTCAGTGTCTTTTAAGAATATCTGAGCTCTGGGGCTTTGCTTCATTCCATCTCAGCCACATGGGGTCAGAGAAGCTTCTGTAGGAATGACAAAAAGTTGGGCTGGACAAACAACGGACAACCAGATCCATTGCACCGTTGGGGTGCAGCAGATACTGACACTGGTCGTGTTAACAGCAACTTGAAAAGCTGTACAGCTGTCAGAATTGCAGAGCATGTACGGAAGCAGGAGGCATACACTGGGGTATATGGACCACATAGGAAGCAAGAGCCAAACACCGCCTGCACAGTGACTTTCAAAAGCCTGGCTTTCTGCAGCTTAGGTTGTCTGCTTGCGTTATGGGGACCTTTCTGAGCTTCCCAATGATGCCAGCAGTGCAAAGCAATATGAGAATGCAGGGAACAAAAACTTGAGAAAGAATACAGCGCCACATCTGTTTGAAGGTCTCGTTCTCAAACTTGATGCTGTGTGACAATCAGTTTTTTTAGTTGGGGGGATCTCAACCATCAACCCTGCAGCCAGAAGCCGAGTCACACCAGCAGTGATACCAACAGGCCTGGATGTCATTGCCCTGATTTTCCTGATGGAGCTATGCCACTGTGAAATAGCTGCCGAGAGACACTGCTGTACACTAGGGAGACAGTTTGAGAAAGAGAGAGAATGAAAACTATGGCCAAGTAAATGAAATCTTCATGATCCTGTGCTTTTTGCTTCAGGGAAAAGTCTGGCTGAAATGGCAGGCAAATGGTCAGCAAGCTTATAAAGGGGTTTCTTTCCTGGAAGTAGTGAGCCTGGCCTCTGGTGCCTATGCAGAACTGCTTGTGTCTTTTCCACTTGAAAGTCTTCTAATAAAATGTATAACCAGCCATCCAGTGCTAAAAGGAAATCCTTCCCCTCATTTGCATCGAGGAGTGCCTCAGAGATACTTTGCAGTACTTAACTTTTACCTGCTAAGGCACTTAAGGAGTCCTAGGGGAAACGTGTGTTTCACGTGCTCAGGAGTACTTTGTAAATTCTCTTTAATTAAGCATCCCTGTAGCATATGATAATTTTGGTTATGACTGATGGTTGCAGCAAGCACACTTTACAATTTAAATAAAATAACAAATGCAGAATTTGATCATTTCACTCTGAACATGCAAACCACCAGGGAACATGAAAGCAAGATTGGTTTTATGCAATGCCAGTTTAGCAAGAGATTTCCAGTTCAGTGCAAAATATTTGTCTTAAGCTCCTCTAACTTTTCTTCTCTGGTAATTATTTTTAGGCTTTTCTGTTTCTCCTGGGATACCTTCCCACCTAGTAGCCACGATGCCACCCCTTCCGTGCTTTCCGGCTACTTTCATTCCCATCCAGTTCCCATCAGAAAATTCTTCCCAAGTCGAGAGCTCGGAGTGCTTACAGACCTCTCCCTTGGCAATGCGCTCTGCTTGGCAAAGCAGATCCCCACTGTTCGTGCCAAATGAGAGCAGTTCAGAAATGTCAGGAGAGCACATGCAGCTTTCAGATTCAGGTGGGTAAAAAGTGCTGGAAATCTGAAGATAAGGCTATTGTGCAAATCCTGTGAATTTTTGCCCTTGCTAGAGGTTGTTACTGATTTTACTGCAGGGCGGGGGAAGGTGCTTTGTTTTTATGGTGGCTTGTTGTAAATGCTTTTAAAGTATTTTAAATTTGATTTTTTTACTTTTTGAATCACAGTCATCCTGCCTCTCATACAGACAGAGAAATTGGGCCTTGTAGATCTAAATGGAGCAGAAAGTCATGAAATTGGAAAAGCTAAGTTTTATGAAGTAGGGCGTATGTTATATTTAAGGGGAGAAGTGCAAAAAGTAGGAAGCGGCTATAACTTCCAAAGGCAAGAGAACATGTTTCTTTAGCTAAGAACGCCTGCTCCTCGTCAGCAATCTTGGTGTTTCTCACACTGATATGGAGTCACATTGTTTGGAGGAAAAACAATGTAAGCTGCTACTTGGTGTCCTCTCTTTGCTACACTTTGCCAGCCTTGCCTTCTGTGGGAAGATAACAAAGGGTGAGAAAGAAGAAAGAGCAATTTGCAAGAAATCAAAAGTTATTTTCAAACTGGGGGAAAGAGGAACAAAAATAAGTGGGAATGAAACAGGATGTCAATCAGACCTGCATCCTGGATTGCTTTGAACTTTTATAGCAAGACCTGACTGTGATGCTGTGCGACAGTCCCATAGTACAATTGAAACTTTAATTTCATATTTTTCAAGCTAGCTCAGGACCACTACTCTCACTGAAAGAGTCTTGTCTCCTCCTTGTGCCTGGCACTATTATTTTCTTGATGGGTTAACCTCAACCTGGGTCAGCTGCCCAGTAAAGTTTATCAGAGTTTCAGAAATACTTCTGCCAGCACAAAATGGGAGCATGTGTGTGTGTATGAGGACAGCAGGAACCTGAGAGCAAAAAGGCATTAGGACAGGTGGAGGTATGACTGCTTTTTTGGCAGCAGCACTAACTTAGACTTGCTTTGTGTGTGTAAAACTAAGGCTTGAAGGTGCAGAGGCTTTAGTGCATCAGGTTAACTCCTGACTGGAAGCTGGTCAGTGCAGTTGCCTTAGAAATATGCTTCAGCTGGATGCGTGCTTGAAGACTGGGGTGAACTGAGACCTTCCTGACTATTGTGATGAGTGTGGGTTTTTACTGCTGGAAACATAAACATGAATGCACCAACAGCTTGTATAACACTTCACATTCTTATTTAAAGGGATAAGCACCGAGCCACTGCTTCAGTGTACCAAGAGCCCCACAAAAAAACTTTCCAGACAAGACGCTCAAGAAGAGGACAGAAAAGAAAACAAAGGTGAATTACACAGCTGCTTGGATATGCTGTTCTTGCCTTGCACTGGGAAGCGCTAGTTGAAAATTACAGCACTGGGGCACCTCTCCTATTAGAGCATTCTGGAGACAGCATAGCCCCAGTCATGAGACTGCAAGGAGGGACACATGGGTTCTGTGTCCCTTGCTGCTGGCAACCTGCTGTGTCACTTCTGCCTCCTCAGCCATATTCTGGTGCAAGGCAGGTGAGAAGGTTGCAGAAACAACGCTGCTTGTCTGCTGTCGGACTGGAGGTTTTTGGCGTGTAGCTGGGAAAGGCTGAGGGAAGGATGTAAAGCTTTTGTATTCCTGTTGTTGGATCAGAAAGGCCTTTCAGTATGTTGCAAAGGACTTCAGTAACTCTAGGTGCATTAATGTGGGGAAGCGAGCCATATAGCTCCTGGCTACAGCAACAGTGTGTAGCATGACGGAGACAGTAAAGGCTTTTTGCACCAGTTGACAGGCCTAACTTGAGCTAAAAGAGCAAGTCTCCACGAGCTGACACTTAGAAAAAAGATTAAGTGAAACGGGAGCCTTCTTGCTGTAGTGAACATAGCCAGTAAGCTTCAACAGGAACATGTACAAATTTGCACTTGTGTGAAATAGAATAGAAAATGCCCAGTTAGAAAGTCTCAGGTATACAAATACTGCTTGTTAAACTGTTTAATGAACTGGCTTGCAGGTCACATAATTACAGATACATGAGTAGTTCAGGACTGTCTAGCAAAGTGTCTCCACTGCAATGTTCTGCAGTGAACACATTAACCAAACATTACCAACCTCTAGAGGCAAGGAGTACAAGTCATACCAGTTGCCCTTTTCTTATTTCCAGCAACTAGACTTGAGGATCAGGAGCCTCTTTTTTTTCACGGGCTGCATCCTTCCACCTACTTAATATAATTGTATTCTATGAAGTGTTTTCAAAAATCGAAATCTTGCATTTGTTGTTGAAAATACAAACATTCTAATTTATGGTGTTGATTTTTCATTTATTAATTCTGTAAAGGCTCTGTTTTCATTGACCTTTTTTCCTGCTGCTTAGATAACAGCCAATTAAAAGAAAGGAGCTTTCCTGGAACTTTTTCTGCTGTCAAAGAACAAAGAGAACAAGCAAAGGAGGAGATTCCTCCACCTCCCTTTGGCATAGAGGGGAAGATGAAGGCTGGAAACATAGAAGACAGGTGAAAAATTATCTTAAGCAGTCAGTCAAGCTACAAAGGCATGTTTTCCTTGATTGTACACATACTGTATGTGTTATATTTGCAACGCAAAGGCTCTTTCATTTGCTTGAGAGTGGCAGGTATGCATGGGCAGAGATTGGACAGGTCTAGGGACTGGCCTTTGATCTACTTCTATATAACAGGATGCTGGTTTAGCCAATTTAAATGAACTGGGTTTGCAACTATGATCTTCAAAGGATAGAAGTAAGGCAAAAGTTGGCAGGGGGAGACACCGTCTTTTATTATGCCATGTGTTCTTCTGCAGTGGCCATCAGTTTGTGATAGCAGCATCAGTCTGAGTAGCTCATTCGTTCTTGTCCTTGCACTGCCTCTTCAGCTGTGCCAAGACCAATTTTTATGTGCCTATATAGTGAACAGGTCAGCAAAGTAATCCTTGTTAAAAATATCTGGAGAGAGGAGAAATGTAACTTTTAACATTTAACTTGGATCAGTTCTCTGATCTGGTTCGTCACTGCATTGCAAAAGGAGTTTTACCAGCACACTGAGGGAGTGCTCATGGCTAGGCAAGAATGGTTAGGATGGCATTAATATGGAAGAAATGCTCGTAGAGTCGTTACCTTTCCTCAGCTGATGCAGGTAGAATCAGCAGCTTTTTGGCACACTGAGCCTTCCATCAAGTATAAAATAGAAGCAGCAAAATTCTAGGCAAGTACAGACTGAGAACAATTGTCACAAGTGTGTTTTAGTGCATTAACCATGTGGGAGTTGGGCATAGAAGGAAGACAGGGACTTCCAGAGCAGAAGGCTAGGAAAAGGTGGCAGGACCATAAGCACCTCTGGGCAAGTGAGCCTGTCCACATATGCCGTTTTGGATCATCAGTGAGCTTCTGAAGTCCATCTCCCAGTCACCTGCACTTGCTGTGCTTTGGTTCACATTGTGGTCTTAGCATGATCTGGGTGACACTAAAGCACAGAATGTGCTCCAGCTCTCCGTGACATTTTCCCTATGGGGCCAGGCTATAGTTGGTTTGAAGTAAATTTCCCTGAAATGCGTATTGTCTAATGTTGAGTCTCAGCAACAATAGTTTTGCTCTACAAATCTAATCCTATTAGGCAATGCTGTGTGCTAGGAGACAGAGCCAGACTGACAAATGAAAAGGTTACACGTGGTACAGTGGTGTTAGGTGGAGGTTTGGTATAGGAAGAACAGCAATGTGCTGTGTACCTCTATTAAACTCAGGATTTTTTAATATTCAGCAGAAATTATTAGTAAGTGCCTAAATTAAGGCTCTAAGCACATTTCCAATGAAATAAGATACGTTCATGTATGCTGTATTGTGCTTCATTTTGAGTCAGTGTTCAATTTGTGCCTCCACAACATTAAAGACATTATTTTTCTCCTCTACCACTCTTCACCAGCTAATTCAAACCACTCTATCAGAGAGATAGTGAGTTCTTTGCGACTGTAAACAGCTCTAGCCTGGAGAAAATGACTGAAATATTTTTATTTTTGACTATTTTCTATTTTTAAGGAGAGACTGATACCAGCCAAAAAATGTTTCTTGCTAAAAGCATAAGTAATGTTTAGTCTAGATAGGATGTTTTAAAATGAGACTTAGGTGTCACATAGTAGTGGGCTTTTTACTAGCATGTTTCGCATTTTTTAAAAATTGATGAGAACTTTTCAGTTCTAAACTCAACATCAGCTCCATGAGAATTATCAAAAGAAAATTAGTTGGAGAACTTTACAGATAAGTTCCTTCCTGTTCCTTGCCTAGGCCAATCACACCAGCAATTGGTATTAGACGGAAGCCTTCTGAAGAATTTGTTGAAGAACAGATAAAGGTAGACAATCATCTCACAGCAGAACTGCAGAAGGAGCAGCAGGTACTGTGCCCTTGGTGCATTCACTTTGGTTTTGACAAGTTCTCATGGACTTGCGTATTGTGTGGACTCTTGGCTCATTGCACAGCAGCACATTCATCTGCTGTTTTTTCATGTGATATTGGAAGATTTTTCCAAAAGTCAAAAAACTGTATTACTCAGTCACAGTCATATTCCCCAATGTTTCCCACTCGATTCTTCTCTTTCTATATACTTCCTGGGTCATAGTTTGTGCCCGAGTCTCAATGTACTTAGCTAAATTAGACCTCAAGGTTGATTCTGTTAGTTTATTTCATAATAAACGGTCCATGCAGTCTCTCATGTGCTGCTAATGCAAGAATGGGGTTATTTCCAAATACAGGTTCTGTGCAACAGCCAAGTACACTAATACTGTTCTTCTTTTTGCCTTATGTGCAGTTTGATATGAGTTTATCTCTGCATTTTGTTAGGCTTGTTGACTTGGAAGATGCACACTACATCACTCAGGAATTTTCTCTATGTCTCCCTGGCAAAATAACATCTCACAGTGATGCATTTATATATTTCTGTGTCACATTGTAAAAAACACTCAAACTTCCTTTAAAAACAAAGACAGACAGAACTTGTCTCCTTCTATCATACAAACATTTAGCTCCATCTTAACCATCTGACTCTGCTAATGGAGGCGTCACACAGTGACTGCTTCTAAAAGTTCTTGTACCTTCCCTGTAGTCTCAGGGCTGTTACTTATGCACTCAGTTATCCATAGCCAGTGTCTTTATGACTCCTGGTGTCTCAGAATTTTCAATTAACATAAATATATTCCTTTCTGGAGAATAATTATCAGATTCTGTCAGGATTTTTGGGTTTTTTTCAGAGCAAGGCAAATGTAACACCTCGGAAGGCTTTTCTGAAAAGAAAAGAAGGTATGGCAAGGCTAAAAAAAAATAAACAGAAGCCTTTAAAAGAAGACAGCAAGCATTCCAGAAGAGCTGGTTTGAACTGCTGGGGTCATTTCTTCCAGCCTGGCCAAGTGGATGCCGGCATACCACAGCCAGGGGAATGCTCGCAGTTAAATCTGCAGGTCAGTAGCGCCACGCAGATGGGTACACAGGAAAAAAAAGCAGATGGTGCTCTAGCTGAGTGGGACATAAAGGCTCAGACTGACTGTGAAGCAAAAGTAGCTGAGCAAAGGCCAGAAGAAAAAGAAGTGATTGGGAGAGATGAAGACGCAAAGGAAAATCCTGTTGACTCACCACAGAGAACGTGGCCTGAAATCCTGCAACCATGTCTTGAGACAATAACAGAAATGAACCTACAAGTAGGCGAGGAAAGGGAAACTCATTGTATGGATACTCTAGGGCAAGCAGGCAGAAGTGACGGAAGACCTGTGGAGGGTACACTGCAAAAGGACCTAGGTAGGGTAGATCAGCCTCTGGAGGGTCATCTCACAGAGGGAGCAAAAACCCCCTTGGAAGTCCTGCAAAAGCATTCTCTACTTCAGGATACAGAAACAGGTTGCACTGAGGAGGCAGAGTGCAGTGCAGGCCCTGCATGCACGCAGGGCCAGAAGTGGGTTCAGGTATGCCCACTGGAACTTGTTTCGGGTAGCCAGAGCTCAGAAAATAAAAAACAGATCCATACTGGGTTTAAGATGGTCAATGATAAGATAGTAAAAATTACACATAGTTCACCTGAGGCTGTGGAGAAGGGAAGCTCATCCTCAGCCTTGCAGCAGGAGCGGCAAAGGAAGGGGACAGCTGCCTTGACATGGCATGTTGCATCTTTATCCTGTGAGTCAAGTTGCTCATCCTCCAACAGTGATGATGACCCCAAATCTCACCATGCTCAGTATCCCTCCCAGCATAGGCCTCAGGCAGTAGATCATATGGACGGACATTTGGATCTCTCTGACGGTGATTATGCTAGTGATGAGCCCAGTGGAACTGAAAAAATGTCTGTTAAAAAGTACAGCAGATCACCCCCAATGAAACAAAACATTCAAACAAGCTCAAGACAACAAAATCTCTCCTGCAGCACAAGCAGCAGTGATTCCAGTACTGGGGTTGTCGGGCTGAAAGGGAGCAAGGCTCGCTCTTCTCTTCAGCAGTCCCTATTCCATCTCACAAGATCAAAAAGGAGAGAGCATGAGCCTGAATCAAAGAATGAGAATAGGGCCAGGGGTGCTAAAAGTCTAGATGTGCCATCCTCAACAGTGGCTGGTGAGATTCCTGCTTTCAGGATTAAAGAAATCCCTGCAGTGGAGGAACCACAGAAAAAACTGTTTACTGACACATTAGGTAAGAACTACCCGAGTTTTGATTCACATTTATTTTCCATAGGGGAAAAAAATTCCTCTTGGATTTACGACTCATTCTCTGTGTGCTCCCTAGGTATATGCCCACCTCTGTCAGTATTTCTGAGTCCTAAACTGGAAAAAAAAAAAAAAGAGAAGAGGGGAGAGAGATATCTGCAAGCCCCTTGTTATACCTGGCTCTCCATCGTCATGAGCCATTTTTCCTAAGTCTGTTGCTTGAGGTGCACTTCCAGGCACAGGCTTTTGAACCCATGAGACGGGTGAGAAGTTCAGTGAGTCCCTGGGGTCAGTGCTAGAGTTCCCTGTAGCTTAGGTATGTTCCCCCCACTGATCCCTTGACAGTGAGATGTTCACATTTTCTACTTACCCTCCTCTGAGATAACGTGACATTAAAAAAAGTGGGCAAAATAATTTCTCAGATTTGCATGTTTTATTCCCAAGACACAGAGAGCCTCTCACATCAGTGAAAAATGATGATTTCCTTAGAACATCTTCACTCAGTTTGTCCTGAATGTGGTCCCAGTTCTTTGGGCAACCAATCTTTCTAGCTGTTGGCCCAGTGATCTTACTTCTGGCAATGAAATGGTATCCTGCTTGAGCAGGATGTAGTCCTTTTTATTAAACTGGTTCTCGACTCTTCTTCTCTCTTAGTTTCCACTGAAGGACTTCCCCCACATTGACTCCTCATCCCAAAGCCATTGACTCTCTCTTCGTGTAGGATCAGTTGAAATCTGTTGTCCTACCTGCAGTAACTGCCAGCGCAGAAATACTAACTTCTGATGGCTCCCCATCCTCTGTCACAACTTGCTAAGCACACTCTTCTCCATGTCAGGCTGCTGTTAAAAAAGGGTTCTTGAGGCCTCTTTGAAGGTTACATTCAAAATAAGGTTGAACTGTCACGTGGCATTCACGTTCCTGAAAAGGAATTCAGCTACTGACACTGCTATATCCCCAAATCCATTTCACTTACTGTGATTTGTAGGGCTTGAATTGCACTACTAAGAACTATGCTGGGAACAGAATACTTGCATAATTAGGCAAAGATATATTAATTCTGTTTGATAGATTAAGCAAAAAAGCTTACTGCACTTATGCAGTCTGTGGTTTTAAATAGGTAGAGAGAGTTCATATTTACAAAGTTCTGTGTACTAACATATATGTGTCTATAGAAGAAACCCAGAACATCCTTACCAGAGGATTAGAGATTGGTGTATATCACGGAAGAACCCCTTCACTGACTACGGTGAAAGAACAAGAGAAAGCAGTGCATTTTTGCAGGTAAATCTGTGTACACCAGAAATTGAGTTGTGTGTGCAGTAAGGCAAATATTTCCTTTAGGATCCTTAAAATCAGGCTGCTAAATTCATACTTATTAGCTATCCTCTCTTCAACTGCATCTATGTCGTTTCAGAACTCAAACACTTATTTAGCTGTCTAGATAAAAAGAAAAGTGCGTAACTGAAGGGGGCCAACTCTGAAAACACTGGTACAGTTTGGATCTTAAAGCTGAGTAATGCCAAATGCTTTTTATAAGTTGCCGAACATCTTCAGATTACACTGAAATCAGCATGAACTCAGGATAATTTATTTAATGAGATCAGGCCTCTGATGGGGTAAAGGATAAACTTCTCATACCACATTCACATCAGGGTAGCCTGTATTTCCAAAGTTAACAAAAAGTGTATAGCATATCTACAGCATTGTTATTTCAGAAATACCCATCTTCAGACTAGACTGAGGATGCATTTGGTACCATATAGATGAAGAACTTGAAAATTCAAGTGAACTGCTTTTGTAATTTGTATTATTGTTTTAGTTTTGGTTTTGTCTACATCTTCATAGACGTGAAAGAATTCCTTACCACAAAATCCCTGCAAGAAATAAGTTTTGAAACTATGGGGTTTGGAATGGAAGTGCCATCACAACTGTAACTGATTACAGGTTATGCAAATGCCTCTAGTGAAAATTTAGCATGCTTACAATCAAATCAAATATATACTTCTTAAAGTGATGGAATCTGTTAGAAATTGCTAAGTACCATCTACTGTAAATACAGGAGAGATTCTTTTCCTTTTGGCATTTCAAGCCTAGTTTTTAACTAGTGCCAAATAAGCATAATTTATTGTTTTGGATTTTTAAAATATAATGCAAACTAAGAAATTATTTTTCAAATCTGTTTGTTCATTCCTTTTGATTTCAAAGACCATAGGATTAGTGCAAAGGATATTTCTGAATTACTTCTCTCAGTTTGTATGATTTCCTCCTATAGCTGTCTTTTAGCAAAATACTTCCGAGAGCTTAAAAATAAATGATTTTATTAAAGATCCTTCTTGTTTGTGACCTTGCAAACATATTGGAAGATGATTGCCAGCTGACTGTGATAGGTGTTGCAGGTGTGAATAGTTGTGGGATTTGGCAGTTCGTGAAACTACCAATGAAATTAGGTGCTGCTTTTACTTTTACTGGCGTAAGTTTTGGCTGTGGAGGGATGTATTGGTGCAGAATTATGGCAGTGCTCTCTGCCAGCACTGTATTCCTTGCCTGCTGACAGTGCTGCCTTGCAGGTGACATTGCTTTGATTTTTTCATAATAGTGCAGGTTTTTAAAAGAGCTTTCTGTGCATGTATTTATGTCATTACCTATGGTAGCCTTTAGCATTTTCACACAGATATTTATCAAAAAATACCTGCCTAGTACAATGTGTGCATGTTTTCTATTACTTTTTGTAGTTTATGGGCTAAAACCAATTGTGAAAGGCAGGTTATCTTCCTTGACTGTGTTGGCCCTGTGCTGTTTTATGCAACCTGAGAATCTGCTTTGTATTTTTAAACCAGTACCATAGAGTTTTCTTTAACCAGGAACATAAAATGGCCACTAATATCGGTAGCATTTTGCTTGTGCCATGTTGACAACTTGTGCTCGCTGGAAGGAATGAAAAAGCCTTTTGAGAGCAGCGTGACATGCCTGGACCTGCCCAGCCTATCCATTCTTTCATTTCCAAGCAGTTTGTTTTTAGACCTTTGCAGGCACAAATAATATATAGGCAAGAGGGTGAAAACAGTTGGGGTGCAGCGTGTTGTGCATACCTGGTGCCTAACAGAGCCTGGAGAGTGCTTGAGGCAGCACCCTGTGGCTCCACTCTTGCAGCACTGAGGTAGTTACCCTTGACACCAGTCAGAGGATTCAGTGATGGTCACTTCCTTGGTCCTTTAACACGGACAACTTGTTTGCCATTTTTAATGCATAATTTCCTGGTAGCATTGAATCTGCGCTCTTTCTGGACCAACAGCATTAGTCAGAAGGTTTGGTTTTTTGCCCATCTGCATTTTGCTAAAAGTTTTTTTTCTTGGAAAAAGACCTTTGCTCCATGTGTTTTTGCCTCACAGCCAGCCTGCTGCCATGTGCCTCATGCAGAGGTATGCTGGGGACTCATGCAAGAATTTGAGTTAGTGCAAAGTACTTAGCCTTTTTTCCTATCATTTATATCTGTGATGTGCACTTAGCTCCTACTTGCAGCTTATAGCTAGGGCATGAACTGATTGTGGCTCCAAAGAAGTACTGTGTGTGCTCCTGGCATCCTTGGTTATTACGTTTCCTCAGGCCAGGGTCTGTTTTCTAGCCTTGAGGCATAACACCTCCATGTGACTAACCCGCCTTACCCTGCAGACCAGGGTGGCTACGTCCAAGTTGTTGGCTGGACACGATCCCTGGCCTGCCCTCACCTCCAAACCCAGCCCAGCATTGTGTAGTACAGTGCTGGATGGCTGATGCCAAGACCAGAGGCACTCTGGGCAATTGCATGCTTGGGCTCATACTCCAGCTCTGATTAGTTTGTTTGTACAGATGTAAGTCTTGTGCAGTTCTGAACAGGTTGACATCAGCTGAGTTGCTGGAAGGTATAGCTACCTGGATTTTGGTTTACAGGGTGCAAGAAATTTAAGACAGTACTGTTTAGTCTTCAGTGGAAAATGTTACATATCATTCTTGCATCTTGCTTTTGTTCTAGTGTATTCTATTTCAGGGCAACTGGTCTGGTTATAGAGCAGTGGTAGGCTGGATGTAATCACACAGGGCCTATATTTGCTAATTTAACTGTATTAATTTGAGAATTAATACTTCTATTGACTATTGATGAGACTTATTTTAGCATGCCTTTAACCAGAATATTAGATAGGCTTATTTAGGATAGAAAACAACGAAAAAATAAAAATTAGGTATCGAATTGTAAAGAACAGCAGAATATGGGGAGTTCATTTATCTCTTAGTATCTTTGAGAACTTTGATATTTTGCTGCTGAAGTGCAAAACTTCATTACTGAGAGGAAAACATGAGGTCATGGCTGCATCCTGCAGCTCTTGTTGCTTTTCGAGTAATAGTGATGGCCAGATGGTGGCTGTAGGTCATGAAGTGCGCTGAAGCAGGAAGCTAACAAATAATTTAATATCCTATTAAAAATGAACTAAGCAGCTGGATCATAGTCATACACATATACTCCGTCTGAGGATATGTAAGGGTTTACACTCTGCCCCTCTTGCTGAGCTTTTAAGTGTGCTTCCATACCACTCATGCCTTGAGACATTGAGTTCAAAGGCAAAATCTCTTTCAGGTGCTGAGCTCCCACATTTAACTCTCGGAGTATAGTTACCTATGGAAAGTAAAGTACTTTACCCCCTTTCATTCAGGTCCATGGCTGTTGTCATTTGTAGGAATGACTGGGCTGCTGGAAATAGAGCTTAGTCCCCAGCCTTGCATATGAAGTGCTTCACAGGTGCAAAGCCAGGGAACAAGCTGTGCCTTCTACAGGTCTGCCCTAATTCAGCTCTCTCTCTGAAGAGAAAAAGCATTTAAAAGCCTCTAAGTTCATGGTCATTACGTTTTCAGAAAATTTCAGTGAGTATTGTTCCATCTGCTCCATAGAATAAATTTTTGCAGCTGAATGCAGGCATGAGTATTCCCAGTGAGGAATGACCTCGATTTTGACAAGTGCTGATAATTTGCTGCCACTCCCAGCAGCATCAGCATATATGGGACAAAAATCCCAAAAATCATGCCCAAAGAAGGCATATCTAAAGAGAGTCCTTTGTTACAGTCTTTATGCCAACTTCATACTTGCTGTTTACCTTCCAAACAGAACACAAATGGACCAGCTCAAGACTGCCAGGAGCCCGGAGTTGACTCACCCTTTGGAATACAGTAGACACCAAATTCATCCACTGCAGAAGGAGAATATTGCCTATAGCAAGGTCAAAGGAACAGCTAGCATCACCAAAGAAAATGTGAAATCAGAAGAAATACAAGTAAGCTGTCTGCTCTAGAATAAATACGCAGTTCTCATAAATTAATATCCTTCCATGCAGGTATCTTATGGTAGTACCTGAATCCTTCCATTTGTCACAAGTGCCCAACTATTCAGGCTACTTCTTGAGGACAGTTGTGTGTACAGTGAATATTTTTTATAACAGGACATTGCTTTGCTTTGTGTTTTAAATGTACATCCTACTTTCATTATGTGAGAAAAAAAAATAGGTTGTGCCTTCTGTTTTGTAAGGAAGGTTGGGAGGTTCCCATGTTCCTTGTCTTCCTTGTACTGGTTTTCCCAGATCTGAGCTGGCTGTTGAAAAATTTCCAACTCCTTCCGTAGTGGGCTTTACAGCTTTTTGATATAAAGATCCACTGTGCCAGTGGCACCGAGTTATTTGCCATCATTCTCTAGTCTCATCCTGGACATAGGAGTTTGTTGATTTTTTTTCTTTAAACTATCCTGACCTTTGGCTTTGAGGTATTTTGATGATACCTAGCAGTGTATCTAACAACCTAAGCTGCCTAATAACATCCCTGAGCCATTTATTGTGGTTACTTCTACGTTCCTTTAGAGGATTCAATCTGTTTGAATCCCCTATTTCAGTCTCCTCAGTGATAAAGTAATCTCTGAATATCTGTGGCTATTTCCCTATTAAAAATAGCTAGACATAACATGACTAAGTAATTTTCTAGAAGAGTAACTGATAAAGAGAAGAAAAAAATAGTGAGCCACATGAGACAGTGATAAAGGAGACAGGGGAAGCTAAAAGCTATATTTTTATAGGATAAAAGAGTAGGCAATGGTAATACTCAGGAATGTCTGGAACAATGTTCAGCTGCAAAAGGATGTCTAAACCAAACTGATACATTTGACAGCAAACTGACAATTTCAATTATTTTCCTGACCAGAAAAGTTTCAGAACAAATGAAACTGGCAAGATAGTATTTTGTTCAAACTTTCTATACTTTATTTTTCATTTATACATTTTAGATATACATAGTTTTGTACCATACACATAGTGAATGTTTTGTCTGCTTGTGTTCCATTATTTCTGTAGAGGTAACATTTACAGCAGGAAATGATTAACTGTTTCAATGAGGCTATTTTAATATTTTGAATGAAAATATTTTAAATAGCCTCTCTGCACAATATTTTGAAATATCAGCTTTATTTCCACCTAGGATTTAAAAAAAAAAGTTACAATTTCTGCCAGGGAATAATTGTGCTTCCTGACTACGTCTAGCCCTAGAGATGAATTTTGATAGAATTATTTTAATCTTTTTACCCGACCTGATAACATAATGACTGCAGGTTCAAAAAGTTAGTTTTCCACAAAACAATTACAAAACCCCTTGTGAGACACTTATCTGAGTGATTCCCAAGTTCAGAAGTCTGCTTCTTTTTGAAAGTGGCCAAGGGATGTGTCAAATTCTGACCAGGCAGCTGACAGCAAAGAAAGGATGGTGATGAGGACACCAGTGGGCAGACACACAAGTGAAGGGAAAATAGGAAAGGGTTGCACGTGACAATAGGTTGACTACAGAGCAAACTGCACATTTCTAGCTTAACTCCACCAACATTTGCAGTATCCAGCATGAGTGCTTTGAAGGAAGAGGACTCGGTGTTGGCATCAGCACAAGTGAGGGAAGGAGGAGAGAGTAGGGAAAAATAGTGGAGACACATGTAAATGGAAAAGTCCTCCCCAAATTTCACCACTTTAATTTTCCTGAACTCAGTTGAAAATTGTCTTTCTGATCCCCTGCTGACCATTTAACTAATCACATGCCCTTGTCACTGCGTGAAGATCTGATGAACCGACATTTTTGCCATTAAAATATACCTTGCATACTTGACTTTTTTTGAAAACGTCCACATTAATTGTGTTTGTTTGCATGATTAGTTTGCATTTCCTGATTTTCCTTCACACAGCAAGGACTTCTCTCTGCTTGCTTTTTAACAATTTGTTTGTTTTAAATATAGAGGTTTGCAGGGCAGTGGGGTTTGGGCTTTTTTTGTTTGTTTGGGGTTTTTTTTTGGTTTTTTTAAGAAATCATTTCAAATGTGTCCTTTTTATATTGCAGACCTTTATATTGAAGACCTTTATACCGTAGACCTTTAAGCAGAACAAAAGACCCCATGCTTCTTTCTGGGTGTATAAGGTGGGCATGCCTAGTCCAGAGCTGGCAATGACATCGCACACTTTTTTTTTTTCTACTGGTAGATATTAAAACAGCAGATTGTGGGACTGCAGGAGGAGTTCAAGAGAAATGAGTCCTGCTGGCATGCTGCCTACGGCAAGCTGAGAGAGCAGGTTGAGATGCTGACCAGGCAGAACATGAAGCTTCGAGATGAGCTCAGAGTTTCTGAACATCAGAGATGGAAAGCTGAAAAAAACTCAGAAGCTGTGAATTTCATGAACAGAAAACCGGAGACCCCGGTACTGGAAGATATTACCTGTTTAATATGTTTAGTGTCTGAAAAAGTCAGGTGTAGTTTTTCTTTGAAGATGGCATGTGTGAATACTGTTCCTCCATTCCTGCCGTGCTTAGCCTTGAGGGGGAAAAATCAGCTCTGTAGTGAGCTACGTTAAAACATTCTCTTTGTGTGGTCCTCTTCCACTCTACATTAGTTATCCATGAGGAGGGTTCCCCTACAAGGTGATTCAGCCAACCTGCCTTAGACACTTATATCAGGGCAGCCATCTCCCTCCACTAACTAGGGAGGGAGTCTAGATAACTAATTTACATTCAGTGCCTAAATTAGACAACTAAAGTCTCCTGAAATTACTTCTAGTATTTATGTATATAAAACCATTTACCTTTTTAATAAAACAGCTGTTCAGCCAGATACAGGCTGGTTTCTGGCAAGAGATACAGTGGGGCCTTTTATTAAATCTCATTTCAGTTCTTATTTTGTGCTGTAAACTTTCTGAGAAGAAAACAGTCAGTGGCCTGCCTTACAAAGGCACAAGTTGGACTCCTGAACGGGAGTTACGCTGGGGTGGAGCAGGAAATAAAATCAGGGTGGAAAATATAGCTGGCTAGGGTAAATGTCTCTGGTGATCTCCTGAAATCAGAGAAGTTTAATCATAGGTTAACAGATTCTATTGCACTTTCTCATTCAGTATCCCTTTTGTTTAATATACTTGTAGAATTACTTGCTACCTTACGATATAACTGAGTGACTTCGTTTAAGGGAGTTAAAGGAAGGGAGACGAATGCTGTTACCCACTTCTTACACAGGAGACAGAAAGCCTTGGTGAAATGAAATGGTTCAGACTAGAATTCAAAGGACAGAAGTCTGGTTTGAGTGGATCGTTTCACCTCCCTGTGTATTCAAGGGAGAAAAATATGTGCCTTTAAAGAGGAATCAATTTCATCCTGTGTCTGCCAAGGCAACTAGCACAGAGAACTATCTTCTAGATGGTGCAGTCTGGTGAGATGAATCCTACTCTTCCACAGAGTGGCTGAACCTAGGAGAAAATAAAATTGAGCCATTTACTCATATGTATTTCCTTAATTTGCAAATCTCATCTCTAGTAATGTATCTTTAAAAGATGTTAGAACCACCAATTAACCTGTCCTTTGCTTTATGGAGTGAAGAAGTTTTGATGTCTCTTTTTATTTGATTTTAATGTACTTGTTAATGAGATTCTTCACCTAACACTATTAAGTTCCATTGAAAATGTCATTTCAATTTACATTTCACTTTGATTTTCCCAAACCTACTTGTTCATACGTCTCATCCTTTTATAGATTGTGAAGGTCAGAAAAAAAAGATTAGAGTCACAATTACAAAATGAAAAAATAGAAAAAAATCCAGTAAAAGCAAGGATAGGAAAAAGCTAATTGACTTCTGTTGTAGGCCAGACTGCTGTATTATTTCTACTGCTTTGGGACATTTTGTGATGTGAAACTACTGCTCAAGCCACTGAAGATTTTTATTGTGTGAGAGCAATATTAGGATGCTGTATATAAAGATGCTAGGATACCATATACGAAGATTGTTGTGTCTGATACTGAGGAGTCTCAGTCCCTAGCAGAACCTGATGTGGAATTTCATTCATTGTGTTTAAATATCATACTTTTTATTACAACAGAAAACCAGATAGGTTTGAGGGTTGTTTGATTCTGCTAGCTGTGACTTGAACTTAAAGTAATATATTTATAACAAATTCTCCATTAGGTTGCAGAAGCAATTCTGCGAGAGGCAGCATCTTCATCCAAACAAGAAGAAAGATCATGGGCAGATAATCACAGGAGCTGCAGCGTCTCTCATTTGGGGCCAAAGACGTCTTTGCAGAAACACTCCTTTAGAGATGTGGATAGCAAAGTATGCATTCCTATTGCCAGTAGTCACTTTTCCACAGTTTGAAGTATTTATTTAAGAAAATGTTCTTTGGAATCAAAATCTGTGCAAATGAAAGTCTCTGTATAAGCATGGTCATGTTTTCTTGCAGTGGGCTTGTGCTGTGATTCAGCGTAACTTTGCTTGTAGTTTTTCTTCTGGTTTTGCAGTATTGGGAGGCAAAACTTTTTTCCTTTCCCAGACCTAGCTGTATTGCCTGTTGTTTGCAGATATGCTCTGAATTCATTGTACCTGCTACTTCACTGGTTGGTTTTACAGGGCACTGCCAAGCCTTGCTTCAGCAAACCATAAATCCAGTATTTTGCCATTTGAGGCCTTACTTGCCAATAAGAATTAGTGGTCTTCTGCCTGCTGAAGTCAGAGAGACAAGTTAACTCAGTATGTCAAGTGAGATGCTTGTTTCTGACCAGTATCGTTGTGACTGCTCCTCCACAGCCAGCTTACCATGTTACTTACACATCTCCCTGTTTAGAGTACATAGATATCTAAATATCCCGTTGTGCTTTTCTTTCTCTTGGTTTGTATTTATTGCTTCTTATTATGAGCATCTTGATTATTACAAGTCCCCTTTCTTCCTTTTGCTCAGATTTAGCTGAAATCTGTGCTTTGTTCAAGTGAAGAGTCTCTCTGAAAATTACTCCTAATTACTGATCTCCCAGCTCCATCAGCTAAAGCAAAACTTAGCTCAGATTCACCAACACACTGCTCTTGCTGTCTTTTTAGGGACTGAAATCAAATGTAAAACAAGTCGGAGAAAGGAGGTGACTATTCCACTCTAGCGATCATGACAGTGTGTGGATTGAAAGTCACTACACTGAGAAAGGAGGTGACTATTCCACTCTAGCTATCATGACAGTGTGTGGATTGAAAGTCACTACACAGTGGCTTGAGTCAATCCAGCATGGTGCCAGATATGAAGAGATAATGACAAGAACAACTCCAAACTGAATACGCTTAAAAGAGCAGAAACAGTCATGTGTGAAATAGTGGCTTCAAAGAGGATACAGATGTTACGTGTCTGCCTTCAAGACTGGCTATATTTCTAAGCAATAGATAAGTCAGAAGGTGGAGGGTTTAGCTGCAGGAAATGGTTTTATTTGTTCTTTACTGATGTTGGATCACCCCAGTCCTTTCTACAGCTGGGATCTCTCCATTCCTCTGTGCTGTGGTGGACAGAATTACCAGCCAGACAAGTAATGTGGGATATACTATCTGCAGTTAAAGTGGCCAGTAAAGTCAAAAAGCTATTTCAGTAGCTGACCCTGGAAATTTTCAAGGTGTGAAAGAGTTTGTTTCATCTGGACATCTCAAGTACTCTTGCAAAATGAGGAAAAACCTGATACATTTATTCTAGACTGAGACTCCCTAAGACATATTGAGTTCATTTTCCTCCTGTGGCACACAGCCATGTGCAAAAAAAATTGTGCCTTCAGCAACAGTTCTGCGAAGGGGGAAATTGATGACAGCAGGCTTTTGGGTTCGCTGTTATCTGAGCTCTCAGTATCCAGCCAGCATTGGATCCAATCCAACTGGAATCCAGTACAAGCATGAGCTAGACTGGTGGGCATAGTGCCCAGACATCCTGAGTGAACTCTGAAATGTTTGACAGAGACACGTTCTTTTTCTGATCTGATGGCAGAAGAAGGCCTTGCAGTGAATTGAGTGGCTGCTCAATTCTGAATCTAGAATTGAAGGCTCAGGTAAATGGAACATTAAACAGAAGCCCAAAATCTGTGTCGTAGTGCTAGATCTGAACATGGTGACTCACTTGTGTTTGTTTTGTATTTGAGCTCTCTTGCTAGCAGGTGGATGCTTTCCCTCAAAGATTCTGTGAATCTGGATATTTCTGAATTTTGGATATAGCTAAAATAAACTCTCATACTGTTTCTGTCCAGAATTGAGAAATGTGCATGGGAACACATCAAAGTGAATGGGATAACCTTGAGTAACAGAAGTAGAGATGCATGCCACAGGGACGTGTGTATACCTGCATAAGGTATTTAATCTAAACCTAGCTAGGACTGATGAATTTCATCAGCTGTAATCAAGAAAGCAAAACAAAACAACATTTGACAAAGCTAATAGAATTTGAGGACATGTACAAAAACATTTGGGGAGCAAGTCCAAATAATGATCAGTACAGGTTAAAGACATAGATTTTTGGAAGACATCATTTTATGGAAAAAAACCCAAATCCAAAAGATGTTCTACATCTCTGAAAAAGGCATATTCTGTTTGCCTTTTATTAATCATGATTTCTGTTTGTACTGTAGCATGACCTAGTTGGTGAAGAAGTGGCCACTTCCAGCTGTGCTTTAGTGAGACAAGATAATTGTCCATTTAAACTGCCTATCATTGGTGATTCTTCCAGAATATGGCTTGAAAGATGTAGAGGTTGGCCAAAATGGTTAATATTTATTAATTATTAATATTTATTAACATGAATTCTCTCCAACCAAGCTGATTTCTGAATGCATCACATTATACATTTGGCAGGAATGAGTTGCCATTTTTGTTTGAAAAGTTTCAACCAAGGTCAAATGTGCTTACTTCCAATCTTATTAGATGGATTTTGCTGTCTAATCTTGCAAGGAATTTTGATGACCTTTATTTCTTTGCCTATGAATATTCTTCCTGACCGTTTACTAACTCTGAAGCAGGGAAGTATGAGTTCTGGGAATATGTAGACAGACTTTAGTAGCGTTTGAATTTTCACTGCTTTATCCGTGAGTATTTGTTGCTTTTTCTCAGCTTTTTGATCTGTTAGTGGGAATGTAAATTCTACATGACACAAACTGTGATATTTGAAGGTTAGAAGAGGTATTTATTTATGGGAATTGACAAATGAGAGATTTGCAGAACAATTTGATTTGTATCAGAATGACAAAGCACTGTCTGTAGGTATTAACATCTGGGAGGGAAAAGCTCGTTAGAAAACTTAAAGTATTATTGTTGAGCATGAGGATCAAGGAGAATATCACATTTTTAAAGTTTCTCTGGTCTAGGTGGACCTTGAGTAACAACACCTCTTCCTGCTCTCCCCTGCCTGCCTGATAGCATAGATCTGTAGGATGGGAAGAACCTCGAGAGGTCACCTGGTCCCTCCTTTTGCCAAGAGGTGGATCAGTGTCACTGATGGTTATTTAATCTGTGCTTTGCTAGCTCCCATGAGAAAGATCCAAAATGAGCTGGCATCTTTACTTCATAACTAAACTCCATCGCTTTTGTTGTCACCAGCTCATCAGCTGATTAGTTTTTATTCTGTTTTCAGTGGAGATGGGAAACCATTGATCTACCTTGTGCATGTTGGGAGTCATTTCTTCCTCTGACCCTGCATCCCCTTTGTATCCAGGGTCTGCATTTACTGGCAATCCATGTGTTTCCAATGAAGAAAAGTAAAAAGATTCATTGAGATAATTTGATGACTTTGTTTATGAAAGTGATGGATAGAGAGAATCTTTATTAAGAACCTCATTATGTGTGATTAATCTAAATACTGAGTACTTGGGTCTCTTAAAAAGTGGAGAGCTAAATGGCAGTGGTTGCCTGGGTTACAGTGATTGCTATGATTTCTGAAATGATCTCTTAGAATGACATCCACCTGCATGAAAAGAGGGACCACATGTAACTCACTAAGCCTGTCTTGATTCCTCTGACATTATTGCTTTAAAAATAGGTATGTTGGTGTATAATTTAAAAAATGTGTAATCTATGTGATGCATAAAAAATTAAATCAGCAGCTTTCACAATGGTATATGTAGCAAGTTGGAGTACCTTTACTACCACTGTTCTGCATGGAGGCTCCCTCAGCTGAATTGGTTGCTCTTTAGATACATAGTGAACAAACCTCACCATGTTCATGGAAACACCTCTGGCTTCATGTTGCTCCTTCACTTTTGCCGTCCAATACATCCTACTTCATGAACTTGCTAGTTAAGTTAAAAAGAATGAGCATGTACCTCTTCTCATTATCATTTTAAGGCCTATACAGGTCTCTGCCCCTTGGCTAAGGCATAGAATCATAGAATCATTTAGTTGGAAAAGACCTTTAAGATCATCAAGTCCAACTGCACCTGTCCACCACCAAACCATGTCCCTAAGCACCTCCTCTACCTGTCCTTTAAATACCATCACCCATTGCATTGTATGAGTAAATGTTGACTTCTGAACATCCTTTTCAAAGGTGGCTTTTAGGTAGCTTACGAGGCCTCCTTTTCTAAAATAGGCTTTCTAGGCAACTCTGTGCTAAAACTCTTGCCATAAAGTATTTTCTATTTATAAGTCTTATGTAGGTAGTCCTTCTAAAGCTTTAATCACAGCATTCTTTCTATAATACTTCACAGCAAAAAAAAATACTGCTATGTGTTAGTGCCTGGCTAAAGCTGATGAATATTTCAGGTGCTGTGGCCCTGTTGGCACTTTCTGATGATGGTGAGCTGGCTCAAAACTAACCAGGCAGAAAAAAACAGTTCATTTTTGCCTGATTCTGTTCACTGAACCAGGTCAATCCCACTCTGTGGTTGCTGGAGGGGCTGGAAACCTGTGACTGGGGACAGAGGAAGAAGAGTGGGGCTCCAGCAATCAGGGCTGAGATTGGCTTGAACTGCTATGAAACTGCACCAATGGCTTTTCAGGTTCTCTTAAATCACTTGGCAGTTTCAGTCTTGAGATCTTTAGCAATAAAATGATGGCTTAGGAGCTCTTTCCTTCTATCAGTCTGTAATTTCTGAGATAATATCTCTCATCAAAAATTTCTGAGATAGTATCTCTCATCAAAAATAATTTTAAGGTTCTTTAGTACTACACCACTTGTCTCAAGCTGAAGTCCCAGGCATATTTTGACAGTTTGCCTACTCGCTTGTGTTTGAAATCATGATTGTATTTGGAGAACCCAGGCATATTCACAGAATCTGCCTACAGAAAACATCTCCAAATTTAAAATAGAAATCATATTCCTTTAACAATTAATTCTATTAATTTCTGTACCTTTTTGCATCCTTGTCTGAAAGGGCTAATCACTTGCCTATCTCCTGCTCAGAACTGTTTTATGCTTGGAGGAAAAGATTTAGCCTTTTAAAATTTTACAGCTTTCTGGTGTTTTAATAGGGTTTATTTCTTGCCTCCTTCCTTGTAAGCACATCCATTAAATTGTAATGTCATTTATTAATATAATAAGAGATTACTATCCACAACCACAGATCCCCTAAGTTTCATTGATCAAATGGAGAAAATTTTAAAGCTGTCAAAAAATGACCATAGTGACTGTTGTCAGAGAAGGAATTGTGCGGTCTTCCCATGTTTGTCCTTTGCTAGTCCCATGTCCCTTGAGCAATAGCTCATGGATTTGGGAAAATGAAGTTGATGGCAAATATATTCATTCCATGGGCTGCTTACACATTCACCTTCCCAAGCAGCCACTCTCGAGTGTGCGAGACATTTCAAAATCAGAGTACCTGGTACCATCTCCATGGGGTTTTTGAATGTTTTTTTTTTGTTTCTGACTATCATGTGCTCACTCCTAGTCATTCACCAGATCAATGCCTTAGAGATTCTTCTGCTGTCAGTTCTGACAGACACAGACATCATCCCTTGCCACTTCTGGGACAACTTCAGCAATGTGGGCAGTGAGACTATGCCTCTGTCTCATACTGCCAGGCATTTCTACATTAGGTTCAGTACCTTCAAAGTTTTGATTAGGCAAGAGCACAACCTCAGTTTTCCTGTGATACTAATGTAATGGGTTTTTTGCAGCTACTAATCCCTGGCAGTCATTGTGTAAATCCCATATATCTCATGGTGGTCATGCAGGAGTATTGTATGCTTCCTCTGCGCTCTGATCTAACGTTTCCAAGAAAAATCAGGGAAGTGCTTTTCAGCAACTGTGATCTTGCCATTCTAAATACCTGTTATAGTTTGTTTTAAACTGTTTACACCTCATTTCACTTCTGTGGCTCACATCTGTCTTAGGGTCCTATAAGGCTTGCATCAGCCTTGATTGATGGAGAGGTATGAGGGCAAAATGTAAAAAGGATGGACATCTGGCAAGTAAAAATGAACTATCAGGCAATATATTTTACTGGGGTGAGGTCACTTGTGGTGTCCCAGGGAGGGATATCTTTCCTTTTGTTGGCAGGGTGATTGGGCTGAGGGATGAGAGCCTGAGAGCAGCTGTTGGCCTCACACTATGTGCCTACGCTTGCCCTTGACTTGCGTTATTGCCCAAGTAGAGAGAAAGATGGGAAGCGAAATAAGACCCCCAAAAGAGAATTATGTATAAAAGTGTGTGTGTGTGTATATGCCCACATACAAAAATATTTTCCTAAAAGTTTTAAACACTTAATGATGTACCTGTTGTAGAAAGGTTTTTAATGCTATTTGAAGATATTTATATCAACTTAATACAAATGTATTCAAACCTTTCAGGCAATAAAAAGCTCTGTGCAAAGCTTTTTGAGATCAGTGACAAAGGAACATCACAAAAACAAACCATCCAACTGCTCCCTTGGCAGAAGCACAACACCGACTGGCAGAAGAACACCTCATCAGGGAAGACTGATGCCTTTTGAACCAGAAAAAGTAAGCCAGTAGCAAGGTCTACTTAGACTGCCTTTATTTTCTTCTTACAGTATTGTTCAGAAGCTGGATTGGGATCATAATCCCCACATAGCTGCTGCTTGGTCTTCTTTCCCTGTAATGCAGGGTTTTTTCCAGAATTTATCTTAGAGACCATTATTACATTGAGCTATTCAGGCACCTGCAGGCCAGAGCATGGGTGAATGCTTTGAAACCTGCCCCCACCCCCCCTCAGAAAAATTTCAGAGGTGATCACATGCACTGAGCACTGGGGCATCACATGGGCTAGTGGCTCCCTGGGGGCCAGGGGCTGGGAGCATCGGGGGCTCCCCAGGGCTCCAGCAGGCCAGGGCCCATCCCACTGCCCCAGACAGGGAGAAGGGCAGGCTGGGGCTGGGAGTCAGGGTCAAGCCAGAATCCCAATCTTCAAAGCCTATAGTGATGAGGCAAGGTCTACGGTTACACCATGAAGTCAGCCCATGGGTTAGGGCTGGCGTTTGGATCAATGAGGGGCATGGCCCGGCACAGGCATGGCTGCGATGCAACCCAACAAGGACCACGTGTGAGAGCCACAGCTGAAATGCAGCCCCCAAGAAAAGGAGCAAGGGGGGAGGCCTGTCTCAGGCGTCTTCCAGCTCTTTCACCCACATCTCTTTCTTCACAACAGTCTGAACCATGATTAGGCACCTGCACCATATCAGCGAGCTGGTTGTGTGCACAGGCAGCTAAACTCCTACGAAGGGGAAGCGCACTCCGTCCATGTCACTGATAGCTCCCAAGTTACAGTGAAGCATGACTGTATGTCAGGGCCTCTCCATTTTGCTTCAGGTTGTATGTCAACCCTCTCCTAGTGGGAGAAGAACAGATGATCGGAAATCACCTGGACCTGTCTCGCATCTGAGTGGTTTTAAGGACCCTAACTCATCTTCCTATGTAAAAGGTAAGATTTGTGGGAGCTTTCTGCCTGCTTGGAGTGGTCTGCAAATGACTTGGAGACACTGGTCCCCAGCTCTTGGCTCACAAGCAATATAACTAAGACTCTCCTATGATTCTTAGAAGAATTATGAAATTTATATTTTACAAGAGAGGGAGAACAAATTCTGCTGTTGTCTGCGATTTACTCATTGAGTTTGTTGTCCAGGAAGCCCAGAAGGTGGAGAATGGATGTAGTCTGCGCTTCTCTCTTAGCAAACATTATCAGTATAAGAAGCAATGTGTTACAGGAACCTCAGAGCTAGCATCTTTAAATACCTTCTGAGATAGATATGGAAATGTGATTCAGCAATTTTGATATGCTTTCAATAACCATTTTTACTTTGCTTTTTCTCATAGGTGGGTCTTTGCCCATTTCAGATAGCTCGGAAGACATGCCCCTCTCACACAACCACAGCAACAACACTTGCAGCTTTGCACTCTGCAGGAACAATGAAGAAACAGAGGTATTTCACCATGTAACTCTATAAAATAATTCAGTGAGTGTGTGATCTTAGTTTTCATATACAGCATGCTAACTCCCATTTAGCTGGGAACAACACTCTCCTGGCTTTATTTTCTTGCCTCTATTCATGGTAAGTACACGCTTTAAAACAATATTGCAATGGTTTACAAATACTATAATAGATTTCTTTATCAAGATATTCCTGCACAACTGTTGGACATTGATAGATTTATGTTGCTAGTTAACATTTAAATTTTGTCTCAGGAAGAAGAGACTCTTAATCTTAAAAAGACAGCAAAATCACTAAAACCTCAGAATAAAGTGGCTTTTGTGACCACAAACAGGAGAGGTGGCATAACTACATATGACAACAAAGTACCTACAGACAGTGCTCCTACTTTTCTGGATGCTGAAGCAAAGGTTTGAGCAACTTATGGTTCTGGCTCTTATATGATGAGCAACTGTCTTATTTCCATTTGTGAACTGAAATAAAACACACCAAGAAAAAGAAAATCTTCCATTCCCATTTCCTATGCTATGCAACAGACACAGAGCTTTAGGGATGGATCTGGCAGCTTCAAGCACTATGTTTACAGCTTTTGACTGGAGCGTATCATTGCCCTGTGGGGAGCAGTACTCCCTTTTCCTTTGGATCCCACAATTCAAAATGCATCACATCTCCAAACTGTAATCAACATTAGTTAGTAACTGTTCTGGATGCTATGTGCCCGATGTCAATTAACTTAAGGCTCCTTTGTGCTGCCAGACAGTGAAAAGAGCACTCACTGTAACAGTAAATTGGATGTGTCGCATCCTGAATAGCCCTTAGTTACACAGTTAGCATTATCTACAGCTAAGAACCATGTCATTTGTTTTAGAAGAGTGGATCTAGCTAACACAGGTACCTTTCTTTGCAAATCAGTAACCCAGTATTCAGAGATAGTTCTGTTCTTTGTTCTTGTGTTTATTCTCTCCATTTCCTGTAGTGTAGTTTTGCCAGAATGCACTCTTGTCCCCTCATTTTTGGACTTTCTCTATGCTATCTTTTGCTATGCAAACTGAAATTCATTGGAGTTAATGTGCAACATTTCTACTTATGACTAAAAGAACAAAATTCATTACAAATGCAAGGCAATACCAGAAGGAAGGGCAGCTTTCCTCTCTGTGTGTAAAAGCAAATACGGGGTTTGCACAGTTGATTAAAATTAATGAAAATATGTTAAAACCATTTCTGTTTATATAACACTGACTGTGACATTTTCATACTATAGGCTCCAAAATCAATATTATCTAGAAGATCAGTGTTACATCAAGAAAGAAGAAAAAGTGAGGAAGAGGTGCAGGAAAAAATAAAGTATCGTGATGGAAAGGTGAGATAAAATAGGATGCAAAAAAACACTTGAAGAGATCACCAGTAGGACTGCAGTATAGATGGGAACCACTGCTTCAAGTAGCCAGAGACAATTATGTCTTCAATTAAGTGTCTGTTCCTTAAAGGAGAGCTGAAGTGTGAAGTTCACACCATGAGTCGTAGGAAATAAGCACAGCTGATAAGCTGGACATCAAGTAACCGAATTATTTTCTTATCTCTTGCTCTATGATTTGCTCAGCAAGTCCTTTTTGTTTCAGCTACCTCATTTGTGGGCTGGGAGGAATGATATGCTTACCATTAGAAATGAAAATGTGCTAGTGGGGTGGTGATGGTGTTTTGTAGTGCAAGATTAAAGGCCCTTCTTTTCTTTCCTTGGAAGTGAATCTAATGGCAGTGAGCTGTGCCAGCTGAACACCAGTTGTGGGAGAGGTCTTTCATTATACACAGCTGGGTACACCTGGAGTAGTGTCAGTGGAGTTGCGCTTGATGTCCAGTTTGCTCAAACCACCTGCCAAAATCCCCAGCGATTCCCCAGTTCCATCTCAAGATTGCTTCCAGCTGCCTCTTGTCCTGAGGCCCATACCTCAGCATGGCAGCTGGTTTTGCCCCTTTTCCAGATTTCCAGGAGGGGTTGAGCAGGCAATTCTTGCTGGCTTCCTTGTACTCATTGCCACCAAACTGGGTAATTCGGTCCTGAGTGGCCATGTCACCTTTCCAGCACAGAACCTCAGGAACGATCTTGACAGGCTGATTCCGTAGATGAGTCTATGCATTGGAAATTCGATGCATTGCTGTTGGGAAAGGTTGCCGGCAAGGTGACCAAGTGAGCTGGTGCTATTTCACTGCTGATAGACAAGCGCTCTTTCCAACAGTGCTGCCGCTCATCTGGGCCAGATCTGAACTCAGTCCCAGACGTCTTTTTGATTATACTACTCCAAGCAGGCTTATCCTGTGAAAGCATTCCCTTGAGGCTGAGGGTAACCTATGCCCAATTACAGTTGTCAATTCTGGGTAAGTGTTTTGGCTAGATAAAGTTAGGACAGTAATTCAGTTTCTGTGCCTGTTAATTTCCAGGCATCTCTTCTCACCCTGCCAATACAGGCGTTGATTAATGATACCTTCCAGTGAGCAGTCACAGAAATGGCTTTTGCAATATAACACTTGTTCAGGGAATACTGGTTTGAGATGCCAATTCTTTTATAGCTAATGCTGAGATGGACTCTGTGAAATCTTCTACCAATCACAATTCCCTCTTGTAGGAGTAGAAAATATAATATCTGTCATTTTGATACTGAAAAGAAAAATAATTGTGAAAAATGTTCACTCTGACATTTTTACTACTGGATTTTATTCATAATATTGAGCGGTGGGCTGGACTTTTCTTGTGCAACTAGAGAGAGGTCATTTGATCCCTTTAGAAAGAGATATTAACTCATTTAAACTATGTGGAACTTCCTGTAGCAATGCCTTTTGTCATAAGTAGGTGTTAAGAACATCTTTCCATTACTAACTAGTAATTTTTAAATACAATAATTTCTAAAAAAATAAAATCCTGCCCTCAGTAATCATTACAATGCCTGTTTGGGGAAATACCGCATTTCTCTTCCCCCAAGCATATTTATTCCTTTTGGTTTTTTGGTTGGGAGGTTTATCTCTTTTTGTGGAGAGTCTGATAAAACTGGAATCATATGGCAGAGCTATAGTGCACCTCTGCACCTTCTGGTTGTCTTCTTCGCTGGACTTCACCAAATGAGTTCTATTATGGGATTTGATACATGCTGAGCAGAACCAGATGCATAGTAATTTCAGGAAAATTGATTAACTAGAGGCTATGCTAGGTATGAAGTCTTCTTTGACCAATGTATTGTTTGTAGAAGAGCACGCTGATGACGTTATTGACCCCTGTCGTGAAGAAGTCTTCAGCAATTTTGTAGATCTCCGCATGTAGCCACATTTAATTCTGTAGTACTGAATGTCCAGGCTTATGTTTCTTGAAATAAAAGGGTTGTTAACATATGTCAGCAGTCTTAATACATCAAGTTCCATCATTCTGGATTGCACAATCCAGAACCAGGGTCTCCTGAGTGACTTATGTGAAATATATACCAGCATATATGAAATTAGTACAGACAGTAACTCACTGTAGCTGGTCAAGAAAAAACCTGAATGGCTTTCCTAATGCCACAGGGCTGTGTGCTTTACCTTGCTTAACAGAAAAACAAGGTGGTGGGGTGGGAACTTGGACTGGGTGCTAGAAGTGAGTTCATTTTGTGAAAATTACTTTTAGTCTCTTACACACATGGTGAATGGAATTAAATCCAGTTGGCGGCCGGTCACAAGTGGTGTTCCCCAGGGCTCAGTATCGGCGCCAGTTCTGTTTAATATCTTTATCAATGATCTGGACAATCCTGGAGTTATTTAAAAGACATGTGGATGTGGCATTTAGGGACATGGTTTAGTGGTGGACTTGGCAGTGTTAGGTTAATGGTTGGACTTCATTATCTTAAAGGTTTTTTCCAACCTAAATGATTCTATGATTCTATGATAAATGAGGCAAAAAATAACGTACCTGTGCTGCAGAGATAGCTTTTGAAACACAAAGGCATAGCGTGATTTACTTCAAGCTCCATCTTAATTGGAAGTAATTGGAAGGCAGTGCAATGTTACTCATTTCCTTTAACTTCATTTACATCAGATGATCTATGTGTTTGAAGGTAGAAGAGGTGCTTACTGATGGACGTCGAATCATCACTTTCCGCAACGGTACTAAAAAAGAGATCAGTGCTGATAAAAGGATGACTACGATTAGCTTTTTCAATGGAGATGTAAAGAAGATCATGCCAGATCAGAGAGTGGTGTGTAACATTTTTTTTTTTCTTTAAGTAAAATTAAATGATTAACTGCTTTTCCAACAAGGTCCTATCATTTATCTCGATCTATCAGTTCTTGGAGAAATTGATGAGGAAGGGTGTTGCTTTAACAACCCTGAGTGGTGAGACTGCTTCATCTACAAGGACAAAAGTGGAAAGAGATGAAGGTAACAGTTAAAGGAGACTGACAGAAGGCAAAGGACAGGGGCAGCCATCTGAAGCTTGGACTGGTTTTTATACGTTTGTAGGGTAGGTAGCACAAGGGGTTCTTCACTCTTGACATTCTGTAAATAGAAATAGCTAATAATAATGTGAGTTAGAGTGGAAATAAGTAAGGCCTTGGCAGCCATGGAACTTTTAAATTAATAGTGCATGGATGGGAGCCACAGCAAAGAGACAGGAAGATGACTTTAACGTGTGCACTGTTGTTTTGTATGTTACAGAGATGAAGGTAGCAACATTTAGACAGAGCCATGAGGAGGGCGCTGAATGAGAGGAAGGAACAGAAATGCAAACATAGCTATTTTTATGGATAGCAGATACAGAAAATGACTTTGAAATGACTTTAAGATGCCTTATTTTTAAGCATGTTATTATGGTTGAATCTGCTTATGCAAATATTGTGAACATGCTGCAAACAATTCACTCTCCTTCCAGATTTATTATTATGCAGATGCACAGACAACCCACACTGCTTATCCAGATGGCCTGGAGGTGCTGCAGTTCCCTAATAATCAGATAGGTATGCAAAAGCTCATAAATGGGAACTACATGTGCAGGAAGGTTCTATTATGAAAATGTCATTGATTCTGACTCCAGCAGGTTGGGTTTTTTCTTCTCAATTTGTATTGTCTTTGCATTTGACTTCCAGTATGTTCCATCACTTTACTGCTTAGTTTCCTTCTACAAAGCAAAGACAGTAATAGGGTGCAAAAGCAACTCTTCTAATTTTGATTATCTGATTATTTGATTCTTTAATTTCTTTAGCAGTATGCTGGATATAATTTCCATCCTTACTACAATGTCCAAAAAAAAAAATCTGATCTAGCCCTGTGTAAAGCCATGTGAAAGAATACTAGAGACTTTTGACATCATTTTTCCACAGAAAAACATTATCCTGATGGCACACAAGAAATTGTGTTCCCAGATCACACAGTGAAATGCCTCTATAGTGATGGATTCAAGGAAACTTTTTTCCCAGATGGTACAGTAGTAAAAGTAGAAAAGTAAGTCTCGTGTTAATGACAGGAACCAGGCACTGGGCACAGGTACAATGACACTGACATTTAAAACTGTGTTTGGACTCTGCATGGCTGGGAAATTTCTAGATGAAAAGGGAAAGGATTTGTAAGATAATGAGGGTTTTGCTACAATGAGGCACTGAAAATTGGTCACTTCCACCTTGCATGATAGATGACCATTTATCGCTGGCAAACTGACTGTGAAATATTCCTCATCTATTTCCATGTAACATTACACCAGACAGGATTGCTGGGAGATCACTGGTTGTCTGTGTTAACAAAATGTACGTACTAAAGGACACAGGATGAGGACTCCTGAGCTCTATTCCTAGCTTTTTGGCTCGCCTTCTGATCTTGGGCAAGGCACTTTGTGTATTATCTCTCTATTCCTCCATGTCAAATAAGGAAAAATAACAATAGGACTTTCTTACACATGCCTCTTCTGGGCTTAGGGAGGATCCTGTTGTAAAATACGTTTCCTGCTTGCAAAATGCCTTAAGATCCCTGCATGAAGAAGTCATGTAAAACGCTGATCCCACCATCCATTAGGTATTATACTAGGTACTGAAATATCTTTGTATTGAAATCTTACTGTGAGATCAGATCTCTAATGACATCCCATGTAAATTCTGAGGTGGATTGCAACCTGCTCTAGGTGAACCTGCTTTTGCAGGAGGGTTGGACTAGATGATCTCCCAAGGTTCCTTCCAACCCTTGCCATTCTGTGATTCTGAATTATAACCCAAGAAAGTTGCCACTTGACATCATTTTCCACTTTCATTGTGTCACATTAGACAGCTCAGTGAGATGGGTTAATAACAGATTGTGTCTTCTCATTATTTCATACATTGCTATTTCTTTCAGGAATGGAGATAAAATAGTGGTATTCAGTAATGGCCAAAAGGAGGTTCACACTGCGCAATTCAAGAGGCGGGAGTACCCAGATGGCACTGTAAAAACTGTGTACTGCAATGGCAGACAAGAAACCAAGTACTCCACAGGACGAGTGCGAATCAAAGATGAGGAGGGTAATATCATCCTAGACAAGAAGTGATTCCTCCCCTCAAAGGGCTGCACTGCACGTAAGTAGCTCAAGCCATTTTCCTGGCACTTCAGAACTGTTAGGAAGATTTAAGCCTTGTGAAATAGAATGGATGGATCTGTGGGGCTGAAATTTACTTTCATTTGGTGATGGGTGCTCAGTTTGGAATAACCTTACCTGAATGGCATGTCTCTTTGAGTGAGACTTGACAGAAATGCAGTCATTCCCTCTTTGTGTATGGAACATTAAAATAAATGCCCATATTATTTCCCACCCATATAAATGCCTATATTATTTCATGATACTGATCACACTTTCCCTTGTTTTTCTGCTAATTAGTTACAAAAAATGGCAAAAACTAAGAAGCATGGCATAAGAACCTCAAATCTACAAAGCTTTTTGAATTTCAGTTCAGTGCTGCCTTATGCTAACTAAAACAAATTCACTTTTTTTTTTTTTCTCAGTTAACCATTACAAAAAAAATGTGGAAGTGGTTAATGTTTTCAGTTTGGTTGGGTTCTTTGGAGCAGAAGATCCCAGCATGCATCAGGCTTTATCAGAGCTGTACATTAGACCAAAACCTGAGCAGGAGTTCAGTGAACAGTCACAAGTCTAGGTGTCTCTTCCAAAGTAAATTATTCAATAGTTATATGATCATAATCTAAGAGCTCTGCCTTATACATCTGAAGACAAAATGTAATGTTTATTCCATCCAGGTCATTATTCTGGTTGAAACAGCCCTTTCTTTTTCCTCCGTTAGTCTTTCCTCAGACCTCCTCTGTGTTGCTTTGGTTTTGAATAAACCTCTCCCACCACTGCCTTTATTTCTTCCAGCAGTGGAAAAATATTTCTGGTCAGTGAATCTCTCCAGCTTCAAGGCTCTTTGGATTGCAACTCGTTCCTAGGGGGATTAATCATTTGTCAGATGCTGCTTTCAACTGCCTTCCCCGTAGACTGCCTGTCCATCACCCGTCTTGAATTTTTCCAAAGCACTGAAGCATCTCCCCTGTAAAGCTCAGCTCATTACCTAAGAAGACCAATTATCTCCTCAAGCCCTTGGAATTCCTGTAGCAACAAACACGCTTTTTACAGCATGCTGCTTTAGCCTTTTCTCACACCTAAGTGCAAAATAATTGCAAGATTATGGAATTGCTCTTTCTTCTCTTCAGTTTCTAGTGTGTCAGACTGTTGACAAATCTCCATTCAAATTACAGAGCATCTTTGGAAGAAATAGATTGAATGGAGCAAGAAGCGTTGCTAATATTCATCATACACATGCTGCCATTTATGAACTTAATTATGATGGCCTGAATGTCCAAGCAGTTTGATGTCAGCTGGTGTGACAATAAAATTGCATTGGTTTTCCTTTACTCCTGTGTAACAAAGGAACGATTTATAAACCTGTGTTTTTCACTACTGAAATATTTAATACCTTTTATGTGTTTTGTAAAAGGAAACTCTAATTAAAAGAAATCCAAGAGATCATTCTATTCCAGGTGTTTCACTAAGAATTTCTGTTCAGTGCTGCCTTATGCTGACTAAACCAAATCTACATTGGTTTTTTTTGCAATTAAGCACCATGAAAAAAGTGAATGTGATTAATATTTTCAGTTTGGCTGGGAAACTACATGTGATGCTAATGTTTTGTAAAGGACCACAGTTTTTATTGCCAGGAATTCCTTTTAACAAAAGGTCCCTGTTCTCCAGTTAATATGCTTGCATTCTCTTTGTTTCTATAGTAATAGACAAAACAGGCTTTGTTTGCAGCTTTTAGCCTTAAATCACCGTTTGCCATTCAATAACCTGCGTATATAAACCCTTCTCATTATAAATTAAATGACAGACAATTTTGTTTGTATGCTGCTTGCTCCTCGCTTCATTAAGCACTCTGCTGTACTTGCAGGAAGCATTCTGATTCTGGAATAATTAGGCTTGCGATCCTGCACAGGTGTAACACACGGGGGATATGTGCAAGCCAGTCTCCAAAACCGTGTGCATGCAGACATGCACGCGTGCTAACACCTGGCTGCTGTCTGCAATCACCTTGTTGGCTCCTGCTTACAGGGAGGTCGTAAAGGGACATAAATAAGTATGGGCCTGGTTCTACTTTCTCACTGGCCAAAATTCCATTGGTAAGATCAAAGGGTGAGACTGTTGAGGATTTCACAGCACTATTGTCCATTTTTACCAAGATGTGTTTTTCAGGTAATATTTTCTAGTGTAATAGCAAAGGGATTATTGAAATAAGGGACAGAAATTTGATTCGAAAAGGAGGCGGCAGAAAAACAGCTACGTAAATGATGAGCTCTGCCAGGTATATTGTAACTGGGAGTCCTTCACAGACCAGTTCTGACACATGCCACATTATTTTTCTCAGGCTGATTCTGACACCCTGTCTCCTCTACTTTCCACTTGCATTCGCTAAGCAGAAGCAGTAATGGCTCTACCAGCTACAGTTCATTGTTGTAAAAACACAAATAATCCAATTTAAGTGTGACTGCATATGCACTTCAACTGTAGCAATACCCATACCTACTTTACTATGGTTTTTTGTCCACAAAATTTTATGAATCATTCAGGGAGACAGAACACAGTTGGGAAACCCCAATTCTCATTTTTCCACAAGTTTTTTCCGACTTCAGCAGAAGCATGCTTACAGCCAGTATTTGGCCTCGGTTCTGATTCAAATTTAGAATACGTTGTGCCTTCTGCATAGTTACTTCCATTCAAACAGGGGAAGGGTTGTATTCTGACCATCATCTCAAATGCTTCAGCTCAGTGTTAGTATTTTTCCATGCACAGCTGATCACCAGTTTTATTGCAAGCAAACCAAAGCTGCCTAACCACTGTACCTGTTGGGTGGCTAATGCAGAGTCTGTGAGAGAGAGGTGTGACCCAACCTTCTGAACGCAGTATTTGCAGTTTATATTCTGCCCACTGTTACCTTGGGAAGCCTAATTATTTCTTTATTAAGAGTTTATCTGAAACAAAACACTGGAGCTGTATATAGATTTTTTTAAAAAATTACTTTCCCTAAGAATTTCCACAGAATCCTACTGGTCATAAAATGAAAGTTATTTCATACTGTTGTTTCATACAATGCAAAATTAATTTCTGGAAATGAATGTTGGGAAGCTCACTGGATTCTTCAAAAACTTGATAGTTTTGTGTCATTCATATTACCTGCACCTTTGTAACCTGAGTGCATGTTGAATGCTCCCCAGTATAAAGTGACCAGTTTTCCAAGTCATAAAGCCCCCTTAGTTAGGAAAAGAATAGAAGCACAGATCACTGAGAAAAGTCATAAACAAAGACTGGCATTTCTGAGGATGTTTTGAGAAATGCAATTCTCCATTTTTATTCTGGGATTACTTTAATATTTCAAGAATTACTTTAAAAAATTAGTAATTTAAAAAAATAATCTCTTACGGTAATTGCTAAATTACAATTTTTAAATTGTGTATTATTTGATAGCTCTTTCTAATACAATTTCAGTGTACATCTACCTCCTTCAAGCTAACATTTTCATTTATGATACATCTATATAACCTAACATCATGAAGTTACACAGAAGTTAAATAGCCTACCCCTTTCTTTGTGTTCTGCTGTTTTGATGGTAACCGTTTGCTCACTAATTTGTTTATTTCCTTTATGATGCTCTTTACATCTGTCCCACCTCTGGAAGCTTGAAGTACAGCTTCATTGAAAGGAAAAATAAGGACAAAATCTCCTACCCGGGGGATAGGCCTCTGGTCTTTATCAGAGAGAAAATAGGGGCGTGTGGTTAACTCGTAGTTGCAGAAGTTGGGTCCAGGTAACCAGTGGTTGAGTTGGTCAGACTTGTGTGGAGAATGCCCAGCTCCTGCGGGTTGTTTATTTTTAGCTTCAGCTTTTGCTTGGGTGGGTATTTTTGGCATGTTCATCCTTTCCCGCAGCTGGGAAGTCAGTGTTTTTCTTGGATATGCTCTGGCAGTTTTCTTGGTTAGAGTAGCCACCTTACGAATTGATCCTCTTGTGGACTGCAGGGCAGGTGGTACAGAAGAAGCAGAAGTACATTTAGCCGCTTTTCGGCAAACGAGTAAGCCAGGAGCCTCCCCGGTGGCACTCTCACCAGCTGCGCTCCAGGGCACCCGCCTTCTGCCAGCCTTTGTCCCGGCCACTTGGTTTTGCCTGAAGGTGTCAATCTGTTTGTAGTTCAGCAGATCAACAATATCATGAAGAAGTTTTCTTTTCACATTGTCATCAGTGGAACAGTCTAAACACAAGGCCGGATTGTAGTTGACTTCTAAAAGCCATGGCTTGAATTTGTCATCAATCAGGATATCAAAGCCAAAGAGCTCAAAGCAATTGGAAGCCACTGGTAAGGGGGTTACAGCAAGCAGGGTGAGAATCACTATGTTATTGATCTTCTGCCAGAGGAGCATGTCATCAACCCCAAATATTCGAAGGTAAGAACGAAATTTGCTGAATGTCCATTTGCAGCCACAACCAATCCCTTCTTTATATATTTTATATGAAGCTCCGTATTTGTTGATGCTGGTGTTTGTCAGGTGGGCATAGACATTGTCCAGAGAACCAAGGTCAAACTTTTCAGTGGCAAACCTCACCAGTCCTTCTTCGTAGGTGTAAATGGTGAGGGGGCAAAAACTGGTGACACACACATAGAGGCGCAGATCCAGTTTATACCCTGAAATGAGCAGGGGGTTGCTAATGTACTTCTGCACAATGACTGTACAGTCATATACTAAATCTTTAATGTCTTGGAAAATGAGTATGCCCCTCCCACGGGAAAGATCCACAGGCTTGCAAATCCAGTAGCTAGGTCTTCTGCCCACTGACTGTCTCTCCTTGCTGTATTCTGCTATAAATTTGACATAGTCATTGGGCATGATGAATGCCACTGGACTGAATTCATACAGAGCTGATCCATATGCTCCTTTCATACGTTTCAGATGCCTTGCTAAATAGTCTTTTCTGGTGATCCGGACAGCTTCTGGGTAGTGGTTGAGCCT